TTTGTTTGTTTGTTTGTTTGAGACAAAACTTTCTTAAGTAGCTAAATTGCCCAAGCTGCGTTCAAACTTATGATCCTCCTGACTCAGCCTTCCAGAGTATTGGTATTACAGGTGTCGAAGTTCTCTTTATCTCAATCAGCCAGAGAGAAAGCTACATGGCAAGAGTACCGGGCCCACTCTCCTGGCTCCCACCCAGGTATGTGACGCCCCAGCACCTGCTGCAGACAAACCTTGTCGTGGATCAGTGATGCCGCAGCTGTTTGCACAGCAGGTGGTGCTGACCCAGAGCTTGGAGTTGGGGGCATAGGTCAGGGTGCTGATGCCTTCCCGGCACTGCCCAGGGGCCACGCAAGACCCATTCTCCACCACAGTCCCATTTTCTGGGGATAGAGGTCAGTAGCAGACGTTAGGGCCCCATCCCAAGCTGTCCTGGCCCCTGCCCCTCTGTGGTGACCCTAAAAAGTTACTGTAGGGCTCTATAAGCACCCAGTCCAGCACCCCACACTTCACAGCAGCACCCAGTTGAGTTGTGAGGCCAGATGTGCAGCCTCCAGGGCGCTGGGCCGCCCTGACCCCCACCCCTGCCCGCTCCCTTCTCTTCCCACTGCCCTCCCTGTCGCATCTCCCACCCAGCTGCATCTGGCTGAACAGGCAGGAGTCCTGGGCCGAAGGACAGGTGATGTTCCTGCAGTGGGATGGCGAGGAGCAGGCTGGACAGGTCTTGGAGGTCCCTGTGGGGACAGAGGAGGGAGCAGACCCTGTGGTTTGAGGAGGGAGCAAAAAGAACTCATGTACACACATGCACACACACATGTGCTCACGCATGCACACACACACGGGGTTCAAGAACAGGATTAGGGGCCACCATGGGAGGGAGGGTGGTTGGAAGATCACGGAACATTTCCGGGAGGAGTGGGGCCGGCATCCGGTGGGTAGCTCCCCTCTGCAAAAGTGTGGAAGCGGGGCCCTTGGGCTCTCTGAGAGGCAGCGGCTGGATCCCCATCTAACCCGCAAGCTCACCAGCCAACCTCATGCTGCCAAAGCCCGGAACTGAACAAGCGAAGATGGAACCACCCTTCCCGGCCATCCCGCATCCCGCCTCTTGGAAGAAACCTCCTCCTCTCACACCTTCCTCTTCCAGATGAGGAAACTGAGGCCAGAAGGCTCAAGGCAGCTGTGTTGAACCTATGGCATGCGTGTCCCAGCTGGCTCACTGTTATCACAGAAAGCTCTAAAAGGTTTGCCATCACTGGCCTAGGGTCTCACTCAAGATCACACAGGGAGGTCTTGGCTGGGATTGAAGCTGCTTAATTCCCCACCCACGCCAAAGACTGCAGAATTAAAGTCAACATGAAAACAGGCAGGCAAGGTCAAAGACCCATACTAATAATTGTTCCTGGTATCTGTAAGAGCTCACCCTCATACAGGGCGACCACCAGGCTCCTCAGACATATTCACTCAATAAACACCAGTTTATTATCATCTTCATTTCACAGAGGGGACAATTGAAGCACAGAGTAGTTAAGTTACTTGCCTGGAGTCACACAGTTAAAAAGTGGCCGAGCTGGGATTTGATCCCAGGCATCCCAGCTCCAGAACCCCGCCCTTTCTATACCACTCTGCTGCCGCCTCTGCTGTCCACAGCCGGGTGGAAGGGCCTGGAGTGCACACTCTGAAGCCAACTCTCACCACCCAGGGAACTTTGGGCTGATCTTCCCCCTCTCTGAGGGACCACAAGCCTCACCTTCTGGCGCGACCAGCGCCCCCAGGAGGAGCATCAGGGCAGAGAGGAGCCGGAGCATGATGCAGGTTGGAGAGGAGGAAGCAGCAATACACAGTGCCCTGGCCTTTTATCCAAGGGCCTCGCCAGGGTGGCAACCCCAGGAGAGGGTGAACAAATAGCCTGGGCAGATAGCGGCCCCACCCAGCGTCCTGGCCCCCAGGAGACCTGGTATGAGGGACAGGGCATGGAGAACATCAAAGCGGGGGAACTGCAATCCCGGCTACTCAGGAGAAGGAGGCAGGAAAATCCCAGCCTGGGAAACTTAGCAAAACCCTGTCTCGGAATTTAAAACTTGCTTAAAGGGCTGGGGGTGTAGCTCAGAGGTGGAGGGCTTACTTACCACGCATGAGGCCCTGGGTTCAATCCCCAGTAGTAAAAATGGGGAAACTGAGTTGTGTGGGGCATGAGGAAGAAAAGAAGCCCAAGGCTACTTACTGAGACCAAAGAAGGACATATAGACATATTATTATTATTATTATTATTATTATTATTATTACCACCATTACCATTAATAGGTTGCCCGGTAACGCCACGCAGATGTCATCTAACAAGTTCCACCCAACAGTACCACAGGTTGAGCATCCTTAATGCACAAATAAAAAATCAAAAATCCAGAACTTCTAGAGCACTGATATGATACCACAAGCAGAAAATTCCATCCCACAAAACTTTGTTTCATAAGCCAGGTATGGCAGCACACGCCTGTAACCCCAGCACTCAGGAGGCTGAGGCAGGGTGAATTTGAGGCCAGCCTACACTACATAGTCAGTTCAAGGCCAGCCTGAGCTGCATAGTGAGACCCTGCCCCAAAAAATCAAAATCAAAAACAAAAGAAAACCAAAAAAATCAAAATCAAAACCACTTTGTTGGGCCAGGGATATAGCTCAGAGGCACAGTGCCTGCCTGGCAAGAGCAAGGTCCTGAGTTTGATTCCCGGTTCCAAAAGTATATATAAAAATAAATAAAAATTTAAAAATAAACCACTTTGTTTCATGCAAAAAAATCATTTTAAAATATTGTGTAAGATTACCTTCATACGGCAAACAAAAAAGATTACCTTCACATTATGTGTATCTAAAGCCTAAATGAATTTTTTATTGAGACTTGAGTTTCATCTAAAATTCCAAAAATATGTAAAACCTGAAACAGGATGCTGGCATGATCATATTTGAACCCTAGGCCAGGTGTGGTGGCACATGCCTATAGTCCCAGCACTCGGGAGGCTGAGGCAGGAGGATCGTTGTGAGTTTGAGACCAGCCTGGGCTTCAAAGTGAGCTCAAGGCCAGCCTGAACTGCATAGCAAGACCCTGTCTCAAAAAGACCAAAAAAACCAGATTTGAACCCTAGTCTTTCTGAATTGACCACTTGCTTTACCAGGAGGGAAATAGACCCGCCTTGGCTGGTGAGACTTGCATGGCCCTCCTGCCCCCATCCGCTGCTGGACACCCTTGATTTTCCCATCTGTTTAGTGGGGATGAGGTCCGTGGAAGACCTTCTAGTGCTGGTGCTGGGCATGTTTCTGTAGAAGCCACCTCTTCCCGAGCTTGTTCAAAGGGCTGCCTGAGCTGGGCATGGTAGTGCTTGCCTGAAATCCCAGCACTCTAGGGAAGATGGCAAATTTGAGCCCAGCCTAGTCAGCTTAGTGACCTAGTTAGACCTTTTTTTCAAAATTTTAAAAGGGCTGGGGACATAGATCAGTGCGAAAGTCCTAGGTTCAAACCCCAGCCCACAAATAAAATAGTAAATTTTTAAAAGTAAGGGGGAGTGGCCTAGGTGAGAGGACTGGGTCAGTTCTCCTCCGAGGCATAACTTTGGCGCTGCCCCTTCCCCTAGTTAGAGCCACAGGGTTTCCATCTGCACGACCTGTAGCCCAGGGCCCAAGTTCCAGCAAGCACTAGATAAACAGTGACTTGAAGTTGGGCAGATTCACTGTAGTTATGTTCGGATTTCAAGGGAACCAGTGCAGGTCTTAGAGGCAGAGGAATAGCTTGGATCCAGACAGGCTGGATTTGCATTCTTGTTCTGTTACCTACTGAGATGAGCGGCCTTGGGCCAGGCACATTATCTACCTGAGCTTCAGTTTTCTGGTTTCAAAAGAGGGCAGCTCGCAGGACCTCCATGAGTGCCTGTTGTGAGGATTAAATGAGTTGATGTACTTGAAGTGCTTGATGTTGGAGAGCTTGAAATAGTAGGCACCAGGGCTGGAGATGTAGCTCGGTGTTAGGGCCCTTGCTTGGCCTGTGCCAGACTCTCGGGTTTGACCCCAAGCTTTGCAAGATAAAAATAAAAACAAGGAGCGCTACACTGTGTGTCATGGTGCACTCCTGTAATTCCAGCACTCTGGAAGGCTGAGGCAGGGGGATCACAATTTAGTGAGATTCTGTCTCGAAATAAAAAATAAAAAGGCCTGAGGATACAGGTCAGTGCAAAGTCCCTGGGGTCAATCCCCAGTACCAAAATAAATAAATCAAAAGAGTAAGATAGATCTTTTGCAAATGGGAAAGGGATCAAGAGTTAGAGGGAGAAGGGAGGAAGGAAAGGATGAGGGGACACAAAAAGAATTGAGATGTGAGCCAGGCGTGGTGGCGCATGCCTGTAATTCCAGCACTTGGGAGGCTGAGGCAGGAGGATCGTTGCGAGTTCAAGCCCAGTCTGGGCTACAAAGTGAGCTCAAGGTCAGCCTGAACTGCAGAGCGAGACCCTGTCTCAAAAAGACAAAAAAATAAAAAATTGAGATGTGTTATGTTCATGTACCGACTCCCCAAGAGGAATGTAATCATTACATACTGCAAACATGTACTAATAAAAGTGAAAACAAAAACCCACAGCAGCAAAAACACCACCAACAAGAAACCTGCAGATGCTAGCTGCTGCTATCACTGTCATTATCACAATTATTTAGCAACATAAATAAGACCAGTAAGGAGCAGGATGAGGTTGGCCTCTCCCTGTGACTCAGAGGAGAGATCCAAGAAAGAGAAAGGACAAGTCCGAGGTCCCTCACAAGGCATGGGGCTTTCCGGCTCCGGGCAGGACCCCTCATCAGTGTGTACAATCAGAGTTTGCTTTGCCAGTTACCAACCCTGAGGGAGAGATAGGAGCCTGGGAGCGGGAACCACTTTCCTTGATGGGTGCCGTGACCGTAAGAAGCTTAGGGACTTAGCTCAACCCCTTCGCAGGCAGACCCAGAGCCCTCCACTTGGGAAAGATGGGAAGGAAGAGCGAGTCCTCGGAGCAGAAGGAAGCAGCTCGAGGCAGTTTTGTGACGAGAAGCCAGTGTCCTGGGAGGTTATCTGTCCGCACTGGGGCTGGGTAAGCAGCCCTGCACTGCACAAACAAGACCTGTGGGACAAAGAGTGAAGAGTGAGTAGGCAGCGGAGGGACGTGTCCCTGCCCTTCTTGTGAACCTGGAGGCAAGGGGACGTCAGGGGGAGAGTTACTTAATGCATGTAGAAACAAGTAGGGACTCATGCCCCGCTTCAGTGGCAAACCTCTGAGTTCTCTACACACCGTTCCGCCCCTAGACTTCCCCACTTACCTGTGATGTAACCTGAGTTACATAAAGCGTTTCCTCTTTCTTTTTTCCGCTGAAGACACGCATCTCTTGTAGGGCCAGGCATCTTCCCATCGCTTGGCATTACAAACTATCTGCAAAGAAAAATTTTGTGCCCCGTCTCATTTCACATGCGCACCAAGTTCCCAAAAGTGGTAAGTAGTTTGGCTGTGTCAAAAAGCTTTTCTACGTTTGTAATTTTGAGAGCAATTGCAAAATCGCCCTCCATAGAGCTGTACCAGTTTACATCCTGTGAAGCACTAGGCCAGTTCTTCCTGAGCCTTGCCAACTCCACACATCCCCAAAGTGATTACTGACTTCTTTGGACCTGGGAGATGTAAAGGGAGAGGAAGATTCTACAGCCCTCTGGGTGGTTCCTTTGGAAATGGCGCGACAAACCAGGCATGGTGGAGCACAGTTGAAATCCCAGCACCCAGGAGGCTGAGACAGGAGGGTTGCCGCTGTTCAAGGCCAGCTTAGACTACAGAGTGAGACGCTGTCTCAAAAAGAAAGAAATGGCTCATCAGTTAAATGTATTACAGGTCCTTCTTGCCTCGAATCAAGAATTGAACAAGGCAAGCTAAAAACTGTGCCAAAACTTTATTTGAAAAGTGAGGGGTGAAGGGGTAAGGGAAAAACTGGCTCTGCAGAGCAGAAATTGGTCTGAACAAAAGAGAAAAAATAAGTGGCTGGGGATTTAGCTCAGCGGCACAGTGCCTGCCTGGCAAGAGCAAGGTCGAGAGTTCAATTCCTGGTACCAGAAAAAAAACAAAAAAAAAAAAAGAGAGAGAAAAAATAAAAGTACACTCAGGTCTAGAAAACACAGAGTGAGCTACCATGAAGAGTCGTGATACCAGACTCTTCGCTGTGTCTCTGTCCTCACCTGAGAGTTCTACATCAGGTGTCCTGGGGAATTATTAGCACGGTCCTAAGGTCTTATAATTGATTGGTCTCCTTTATTTTCCAGCCAGATTTGCCACGCTCTACCTCCGAGCTCACTTCCAACTAGAAAGAGGTGGAATCTATTTCTCATCTTCTCCTTGAACCTGAGTGGGTCTCATAACTGGCTTGGGCCACTAGAATGTGACAGAAAGGATGTCACATGAGTTCCAAGCAGACAGAGGCCTCAGCAAATGACAGAAGTCTCAACTTCCTCCTCCGGAAACTTTTCAGTACTAGATGATCCAGCCCAGGCCACCTCCTGCAGGACGGAAACCAGCAGGCTTCTGTGAGAGCCCCGGGAACCCCAGCCGCCGAGGCCAGGAGCCCACACATGTGATGGAGGTCATGTCTTAATCCAGGCGGCCATAACAAAAGTCCATGAACTGTGTGTCTTGTAAGGGACAGCCATGTACTGCTTACTGTTCTGGGAATGCAGAAGTCCAGGTTCCAGGCACCAGGAGATTCAGTGTCTGGAGAGGTCTGTTTTCTGGCCCTAGAAGGCATCTTCCTGCGGCACCTCACACCAGGCAGGGCAAAGCGTTAGACAGGGTCTCGTTAAATTGTCTAGGCTGAGCTTGAACTCACGATTCTCGTCTCTCAGTCTCCCAGAGTACTGGGGCTCCAGGTGTGCATCACCATGCCCGGCTTCCCTGAGTCTTTTTTTGTAAGGTGACTAAGCCCATTTATAAGAGCTCTTCCCTCATGACCTGATCACCTCGCCCAAAGGCCACCCCCTAACACCATCACACTGGGGATTAGGATTTCAAAACCTGAGCTCTGCGGGGGACCGAAATGTTCAGACCGCAATACCGTCTAAATCTAACTAAGCTTGGCCAAAGCAGCCTGAGCCAGAGCAGCCTGGCCCTCCAGATGAGATATTTGGGGCGTTTTTTCAGCATTGGTGGGGACAGGGCCTGATGCATGCTAAGCAAGTGCTCTACCACTGAGCTATACCCCTAGCCCATAAATACTTATGGTTTTAAGCCCTAAGTTTTGGGGTGGTGGTAACAGCAGAAGTCAACCGAAGCAAATAATATTTTAGCATCTTTTGTTTTGTTTTTTTGAGACAGGGTCTTGCTATGGAGTCCAGGCTGGCTTGAACTCACTATGCAGCCCACACAGGTTGGCCTCGAACTTACAGCGATCCTCTTGCCCCAGCCTCTCAAGTGCTGGGATTATAGGTATGCGCCACCATGCCTAGCTGATGTCATTCTCATAAGAGCATTTGTGCTTTCTCTCCTGTCCTTTTGGAATTTTTTTTTTTTTTGGTTTTTTTTTTTTCCGGTACCGGGAATTGAACTCACGACCTTGCGCTTGCCAGGCAGGCGCTGTGCCGCTGAGCTAAATCCCCAGCCCCTGAATTCTCTTTTTTATTGATTCCTAGAAGCCCTATTAACTTCCTGTGGCTGTTGGGATACAGTCTGAACACTAGGTGTTCAGACAAAGAAAAGTGTTGTTTACCAGCCTGGAGTAGAAGTCCCAGATTCAGCGTGTCAAGTCTGCAGGACTGTGCTCCCTGCAGACCCTGGAGGGGAGTCCTCCGGCTTCTTCCCGGCTTGTGGGAGGCTGCCAGTGACTTTGGCATCCTTGGCTTGCAGTTGCATGACTCCAGTCTCTGCCTTTGTCATTCCAGCCTTCTCTCTGGGTTTCTGTCATCACACGGCCACCTTCTTACCAGGACACCAGTCACGGTGGATGAGTAGCCCACCTCATCCCAGTATGACCTCACCTTAACTAGTTGCATCTGCAACAACGTTATTTCCAAATATGGCTGTGTTCTGAGTTCTGGGGTTACGACTTCACCCTGTCTTTGGGGGGCAAACACAATGCACTCATAGCAGGAGCTCTTGTATGTTGGGAGCAGTGGCCCTGGTTGAGCCTGTCTCCCGCACTCTCTCACCCTCTCTGCCTCTCCTCGGGCTGGGGGAGCCCCTGAAACCCATGTGCCTGGCACGCAGCCCTGCAGGCACACACAAGCCAGGTGAGGCCCCAGATGAGTCACCAGGAGGAAGGAAGGGACATTCCACATTCCACTTTTCTCGAAGTGCCCTGGTCCTGACACCTGCCGGAACCTTGCAGGGGTGTGTCACTTGAAGGAAACACAGGAGTCAGACAGAGACAGAGACAGAAGCGGAGAAAAAGAAATAGTCACTGAGAGAAACAGAAAAAAGGGAGAAGCAAAAAGGACAGAAAGAGGCAAAAAAAAATTAAAAACACACACAGTGTAGACAGAGATAAAGGGATGGAGCCAGAGAGAGAGATGGGCACCCAGAGAGAGAGAGGGACGGAAACAAAGAAAAATAACCAAGTGGAGAGAGAGAATAAAAGACAAAGACAGAGACACAGAAGAGGAGCGAGATGGACGTTTCAGGAGACCAGAGCTGTCCCTGGGAGGATGCAGGGGCTTCGAAACACTTCCTTTGTTCTTTAAATAAAAGAGGAAATTGGTCCCACAGCCATGAGGTCATTCCACCAGGAAGTGGCAGCACCAGATCATGGTTCATGGAGCCCTCAAAAGCCTCCCACCCACCCCAGCCCATCTTTCAGATGGGGGCACCAGTGATTAATGTAGTGGAGCCATTCTCAGAGCCACCGAGGGGCAAATGGCTGAGCTGGGATTCAAACCTGCTTGAATCATTCCCTTAACATTCTTTTCTTTTCCACTACAGGAGATTAAACCCAGGGCCTCAGGCATGCTAGGCAAGCACTCTACCACTGAACTACGTTCCCAGCTCTTTATTTTTTATTTTGAAACAGGTCTCACTGAGTGACCCAGGCTAGCCTCAAACTTTTGAATCTCCTGCCTCAGCTCCCCCTAGTAGCTGGGATTACAGGACACCTGGCTTCAACATCTCTATTTCTTTTCACCCACCTCATTTGCATCTTGTTCAGGCGTCACAGCAAACTCCAAAGGGGCTCATCTGGGTTCCAGATGAGGAATTGGAGGTTCAGCTCAGAGGACTGTGTTGGCTCTGGGTGACCCAACCAGGGAGTGATCCGCCCCAGCAGCCATCTGCTTGACAACTGCTAACTTCAGACTCCAGAACACAACCCCAACCCCCTTGTCATGCCAGGAAGTGAAAATGAAGAGCCAGAGTTGGGTTCAAAACAATGATCACCACAGCTACCATTTTACTGAGCACGTACTATGCCCCAGGCACTGTGGAAGAAGTCAGAGGTACATTCTTTTCTCCCTCCAGAGTATCCGACCTGGGAAAGAGAAACTTACAATCTCTACTTTCCAGATAAGGAGCTTGGAATACAGAATCGGTGAGTCACTGGAACTCAAACCCTCACAATCTGAGGCCGCCTCCCAGAGTCAAACATTTGTGCCACACCAAGAAGACTTCTTTGAGACTTTTCTCACCTTATCTGAAAATGATTAGCTTAAGGTTTCAACAGATTAGTAAGAATGAAAGTAGTAAAATCATTGTTGTAGGAGGAGCTATTCCTTATGCATCATCTTCTGTATGAGTCACACTGACCTCCCTGCAGTTCCTAGAAGTCATTCAACACATTCCCACCTCAAGCCCTTTGTAAAGGCTGTTCCATGTCCCAGGAAAGCTTTCCCTACACATTTACCTGACTTCCTTCCTCCATGCTTATGGAATCTCCATAGACTGCCCCACTAAACACAGCTCACATCACACTTGCACCCTCTCATCTCCTCCAAGACGTGCCTGGTTTCCCCATTTTGCCTAGTCTCAGACCATGAAAGTTTAGATCACAAACCCAGCCCACTGTCAGCACAACGGTGGGGACTTTGCTTTGTTTCTTGCTGTGTCCCCAGCTCCTGGAGGCGGGGGGAGTGGCACAAAGTGGGTCCTTGGCAAATGTACCAGGAATTTGTTGATCCCTCCATGTGGGCCTGACTCTATTCTGGGCCTTTTTCCATGTTCAATTGCTCTTGCTGGCCAGATGCATCATAAAACGGAAGACTTATTTTATCCTCTGCATCCTATATTCCTTTATTATTATTTTTACATATTGGACATTTTTAGGAACAATGGAAGTGTAAAAAGAATGGCAAAAGAGCCCCTCATCTACTTGTGAATGTGGTATAATTAATATAGTTGGTTGTTTTGCCTTTGTTTTCTGCTGAAGTATTTTTAAAGTAAATACGGCAGACATTGATGGCATCCACCCATAAATACTTCAGTGAGGATCTTAAAAAAAAAGAACAATTTCTCCACATAACCACAAAATCTTGTTCATAAGAGCGATATCTACTTTTTTTTTTGTCTAAAATGAAGATAAATGGCAGACATTATGTCATTCCACATCCAAATCTTTCTGAGTCCCTCTCTGAAAGATAAAGGCATTTTCCACACGTGACCACAACACCACCATCCCCCGCAACAGAGCTAACAACTCCCGACACCATCGAACAGTCAGCCACGTTCAGTCTCCCAGGAGGACAAGTTTTTATCCTCATTTTTCACCTGAGAAGAGTCATTGTCCAAGGAAGTCCCACGGCAGGAAGAGGAAGAACTGGGATTTGAACCTAGGCAGTCTGATGACAGAGCCGTGACCGCTGTCGTGAGTCAGGGCCCAGCCAGCTCGGGTCCTTCCTGCGTGGCGGCCGCGCCCTGGCCGGAGAAGTTTTGCAGGCGGGGAGGAGGGAGGCCGGTGGGGGAGGAGGGGGCGGCGCCCACGCATCTGCGGCTGACTGGCTCTTGAGCAACGCGGCGGGGAGGAGCCCCGGGCCACAAAACTGCCTCCTTCCCCGCGAGGGGAGCAGAGGAGAAGAGAGGAACCGGGTCGGACCGGGCCGGGAGCATGGACCGCCCCCTGCAGCTGCTGCTGTGCGTTCTGATCTGCACCCCAGGTAAGGGTCGGGGTGAGCGCCTGCGCTGGAAAAGGGGGGACAGGGTCTGGTGAGTAGGTGGAGGGGATTCGGTCCCCAGCACCTCTCCCCCATCAAGCAATCGTCCTCGCACCTTCTCCTGCAGACGCGCGGCGCAGGCCCTGGCCCACGGTGGGCCAGGAAAGACTAGTTGGGGAAGACTAACTGGGAAAGACTAGTCGAGAAAGACTGGCTGGGTCAGACTAGCGGGAAACACTATTTGGGCAAAGGCGTTAACAAGGGCGATCCTTTAGCGGGTGCCCTTTTGCTGCTCGATGCTATTGCCAAACTCTTAGAGCTATTATTATTAATCCTTTTCATGGAGGACGCTGAGGCACAGAGACGTTGAGTAACGGCTCTGAAATCCCCAGCCAGTTCTTGACTAAGTGGGGTTCTGACCCCGCCAGGCGCCCCAGGATCCCCTTTAGAGAAATAAGGGGGCAGCGCTCCGTTTTGCAAAGAGCCTAAGGAAAGTTGGGCCGAGCATCTCGGAGGACACTTCCCTTTCACCATCCCCTCGCCGAAGCGATCATTTCACCTGCTTCCCCCGGAAAATATGGGGAAGTGGGTTTGAGAAATGAGAAGAAATGGAGAAAGAACTGAGTGAGGTCAGGCACGGCGGGGGGTGGCGGGGCGGCGGTGAATAATTCAGCCCTGGGGACCTGACCAGGAATGAGTAATGATCAGAGTCTAGGGGGAAAGGTACGTCCGGGAAGCCTGGCGGGAGGGGCTGGGGCTGGAGAGGGGCCGGTGTTACAACTTCGGAGAGGAGCAGGACCCACCTAGAGCTCGGGGAATGGGCTGGGGGCGGGGCTAGATTATTAAAGAACGGGGCGGAGTCGGGGCGGAGATAGAACGTGGGGGCGGAGCCAGGGGCGGCTTTATAACCTCGGGATCGGCCTGGAGGGCCGGGCTAGGACTTTAGAGAGGAACCGCAGGCCGAGCTAGACTATGGGGTGGGCCTAGGGGCGGGGCAATTTTTAGGTGAGGTGGGGGGACTGAGGCTAGGACTTTAAAGAGGAGGAGCCAAGGACAGGGCTAGGATGTCCGGGCGGAGGGGAGAGAAAGTAGCTGAGCGACTAGAGGGCGGGACTCGAACCTGGCGCGTCTTGGGCGGCGAGAGACCTAGAGCGAGGCTGGGTTCGCTGGGATTCGCTCCGCACAGCCGATGGGCGGGACTAGTGTCCCCGGAAACCACAGGGCTGGGGGAGACCCTGGGGGAGTGGGAGAGAACCTGGGGGTGTGGGGAGGCGGCTACGGGAGCGCACCGGCAGCAGAGCTATAACCTAACCTAAAGACCGGCGGGGCAGTGAGGAGAGAACGCTCCTAGCAGAGTTTAAGAGAGGAACTGGGGTCGAGTGAGACGGCTAAAATCGGACGGGATCAGAGTTGATTGTGAGGGCGGGGATAAGACTTCAGGATGCGTGAATGGATTTACAGGGAACGGGCCAGGGCGGAACTTGGGGAGCGCCTGTGGGCAGAGATAGAACGCGGGACCACAAGCCCGAACCCAGAGTTGGAGCCGAGAGGCAGGAGCGGACAGCGGACCGGGCCTGGAGCCGGTCCCGGTAAGGGGATCGGAGCGGGACGGAGAGGGTCCTGGCGCGCGTTAACTGACCAGGTCTCCTCTCCCCTTCCCCTCTCCTCCAGTCTCCTGGGCTCTGCTCTGCTTGCAGTGTGTGAAGAGTGGGCCCTGCCAGCCGGAGGTGTGTGCCTCTGGCGAGGACCTCTGCAGGACCACGGTCATTAATGTATG